AAAATCACATTTTTTCTGTATTTTACTTTTAAATGGACTTAGATTTTCTGCCAGAAAACAACAAATTCACTCTGTGGTGAAAGTTTTTTAAATTTTAATAACTTTCTTATACTATTTTTAATTTGTGCTAAACTTGGACAGAAGCTTGTTTATGATCAAAAGCTAGTATCTAGAAGGAAATTTTGTACCTGTGTATCTGTATTTTACTTATAAATGGACTTCCAGTTAACATTACATACATTCTGCAGTTAAATTTTTTAAACATTTATTTGATTCATAAACTTTCCTGGATTTTTACCAAACTTGGACAGAAGCTTCTTACAATCAAAAGATAGTATCAAGAGGAATGTGTTTATTGATTTTTTTCCTCATTTTTGTTGAGCCTGCGATTTACAGATAACGTAGGCGAGACACTGGGTTCCGCAGAACCCTTACACATTTTTTCTACATTTATGAGATAACTATTGTATTTGAATATTTGCAAAAGTCAATCTGTGATTTTTATTGTCGCAATTTGTGTTTGACTGGTGGAGAACAGATATTTGCAGCTGTAAAATCTTAAATTGTCGTAGGCAAATATTCAAAAACAATAAGGACAAAAAAGGTCAAAATTCACCATTTTAAAATACCTGGTGTTGAATTAGAATATAAATTCTCTATGCCAATTTTAAAAAATTGTCAAAATATCACTATAAATTACAATATTTTTCAAATGATGTGAATTTTAAAGGAATTGTAAACCCTATTTTTATGCCCCATTTCTGGGCATTATGTTTTCTGGTCTGTGCCTCAGTCCGTCTGTCCCGCTTCAGGTTAAAGTTTTTGGTCAAGGTAGTTTTTGATGAAGTTGAAGTCCAATCAACTTGAAACTTAGTAAACATGTTCCCTATGATACGATCTTTCTAATTTTAATGCCAAATTAAAGATTTCATCTCATTTTCACGGTCCACGGAACATAGAAAATGATAGTGCGGATGGGGCATCCATGTACTTGGGACACATTCTTGTTTTGTTATGTTTTCTGGAAAACCATATCAATAACCAGTTACTACAAGAAATTACCACATATTTGTGTAAACAAATACCAATCATTAACTTACAATTGATCATGATAGATAAGTCTGCACTGAAGGTAGAGAATTTCGTGTTAGGGGGTGTGGGGGTGTGCAAATTTCTTTGAAAGACTGAAAAAAGTTAAATGACCCCTGTCCTTTTTACTTCTGTAAAACATATGTGGCCACCCGTCCTGATAGTGTCTAAAAATATGGATCCCCCTCCCAACCTTTCCTTCACTACCTTTATGCCTTCATCTATCACAACTGTATGACAATCCATAATTTTCAGGTGAAGCATAAATACAATTAAAAAATATTATTTTAATCAAAAGTTTAAACAGTTAAATCTATAAATCACAATTCTGATATAGAAAAAAATATTTAGTGATATTTTCAGTATCTTTATTTTTTATGTTTTATGCTTGTTGTGTGGTCTTATCTTCATAAACCAACCTAACTTGGGGATGTAATTTGATTACCTGCCAAATCTGGAAAAGGGAGATAAGCCTCCATTTTTTCTTCTCATTCATGATTAATTAAATTACAGTTTACCTTTTATGTTGAATATTGTGATGTGTTAAAAGTCATGCCACTGTTTTCATTTTGTTGACATATAGTTTAATTTATTACTACATGTACTAGTCTCATTTTTACATATGTTGTGATTTTTATGAGATTTTTTTTTTATGTTTGATGCTTTAAATACTATAATACTAGAACACACCCACAACATTGCGGGTTTGTGACTGAATTAATGTACCTATGCCTTATTGTCTCGCCTGCGATGATGATGTCAACAATTGTTATTTAGTTTTCAGCATAAGTTAGTTTGATAGAAACTACTTGTGATAGATCATTGATATTTAATACAAAGTTGCATTAATGGAAGTACATATCAGTTCTACGACTCTTTTGAGGCCCTGCCCCCTAGGTCAAGGTTCAGTAAATGTGAATGAATGAGCAGTTTTCAATGTAAAGTATCTGCTTAAGTTTGATAGGATCTACTTGTGATAGATCAATGATATTTTGTATATAACAGTTGACAACTATGTTGAGGCCCTGTCCCCATGGTCATGGTCCAGCCACTTGCAATTAAAAAGCAATTTTTAATGAAGTTTTCTGCATAAGTAAGTTTGATAGGAACTACTTGTGATAGATCAATGATGTTTTCTATATAGTTGCATTACTATCAGTTCAATACACTTAAACAACTTTTTTAAAACCCTTCCCCCTAGGACATGGTCCAGTGACATTGAATTATATACCAGTAGCAATTTTTCGATGGTAAGTTTTCTGCTGAAGTTAGATTGATAGGAACTACATGCAACAATATTTTTTATAAAGTTGCATTAATGTCTGTACATCTCAGTTTGTCAATCATTCCTAAGCCCTACCCACCAGGTCATTGTCCAGTGACTTTGAAATAATAAGCAATGTTCCTGTCTAACAGATTTTTTTAATTGTATGCCAACAGGCGAGATATCTCTCTGGGTCAACATTTATTTTTAGTATTCATATTGTCATTTGATAAGGTTCACAGTTTTCTGAATCTCTGCTTTCAAAATCTTTCTTTTTAATCCTGTCCTGGTTTCCTTTCTACAATGGGAAACTACATATGACATATACTATAGGTATCAGTATTAGAACTTGTTAATTATTGGTAATGTTTCTTATGTGGAAAACAAAAGGGCCTGGAATGGTGCAATTTTTAATCAACAATTTTGTCCTATATTAGTTATATATAAAGTTGAATTCTTGATTCTTCATTTTTACGTCATGCAGGCTAACAAATTTGACCTTGTCATTTTAATAGTATGTATTTATCTCCAATGACCATAAAAACAAGAGTTTACCTATTACGGGTGTATGTTGAAATTATTGTGATGTGTTGAAAGTTGTGCCACTGTTTTCATTTTGTTGACATGTAGTTAAATTTATTTATACTACATATACTAGTCCCATTTTTTTATATATTTTGTTTTTTATGAGATTTTATTTTTATGGTTGATGCTTTAAATACTTCAGTACAATACTTGCCTTCAGGAAAAAATTAGGCTACATTTGTAAATGTAGGAATGTTATGTATTTGAATTTTCTCTGAGTCCTTAAAGGCCAATGGAAAAATTTCCCTCGTTAATGTACATTAATTGGAAAAGAAAGATTAGCCACCAATGTTTCTCATGCATGATATTGTTATTGTTAATTTTGATAATTACCTTTTGCAATTTTTTGTTTAGTTCTCAATGTTGAGATTTGCCAAAGGCTGTGTTTTTGTTTTTCATTTTGTTGATTTGTTACTTTATTCATACTATTCTCGATACCATTAAATTCTAAAACTGCATGTTTTGTAAATTGATGAGGTTCTCTACAAAGATATTCCTCATTTCGTCTTAATTGGGCGAAAAAACATGGTCTCAAAACTACAAGTGCTAATGACTTGTAACTTGATACATGTACAAGATTTCCTCTTTGATTTGGCAAATCTTGTTTCTAATTAATTGAAGATTAACAAAGCTTTGTTAATTTATACAAATCATGATGTCTCCTTTAAAGATTTATAATTTCATTTTAAAAGGGCAAAATAGACAATTTGGTCTTTGGGCTATTTGTAAACCAGGATTAAGATTAGAACTGAAGCACACTAAAAATAACTTAAATGGCAAGAACAAATTCATTTAATGTGATCTACTTCTAAAATTGATATCCAACTAATTATTCCATTATCATTGTCTGCAATTGCCATTATGCAAATAAGCCATAATTTCACATTAAGGTTTAATAACAGTAAATATGCTATGTCACAGATTTCAGTAAAATTTTGTATACAACTCTGGACTGATTAACTTCAACTTAAAATGGAAAAAATAATGCATTTATCTCCTTTATCATTTGAAATATTACTGATTGAATTCATACAGAAAGGGTAAATATTTGTATAGAAAGCACATAAAATCTGCAAAAAAAAATTGTCTTAAAGTTGTCAAATATCTGCAATTCTACTCCATAGATTGATACAAACATTTCTGTTTTAATGATGCAAAAACAAAAGATAGGGTCACCGTCTTTGTTTTTACGGTTAACATCATTATCGCTATTTTACTAAATTTTACTTTGATCTTGCTGATTGATAATTTCCTTTCTCAGCGGAGTTGGGGTGATATGAAAATTATCGCTAGAAACTAAGGGGGCATGTGGCATTGCTAATCAAATTGACAATGTCGTCATAGGTGGAATAGCTATAAACAGATTATCATTGGTCAACTCGACCATACAGGCTCAAGCAAGAAAATCAATCTCGTTGAGATGATCAACGATAATCTATAATTCCAAGTGATATTTTTTGAGAAAAAATTAAAAAAATGTTGAAATATTATAATTGTAATGTCATGGCGTTGCAGGCTATTAAAAGTCAGAGAAACAAAAAATGGCTGCTGAAACTGCAACAAGTTTTATAAAATGACCACCTATCCCTTCACTATCTATAATGTGACTGGACAAATCCTTATCTTATCTCTGTAGACAAAAATAACTTATCAAAGGTCTTTCTTATATTAAACACATGATGGGACAGGGTAAAAAATGAGAGGGACATGAACAAAACATGTATAAACTCCAATTTAATACATTAAATTCCCATTTATATATAATTCTCCAGATTAGAAAATACCCCACTTAAACAGAACTCTGTTAGAGTGTATGTTTGGTACTATGATGGACTTAGTCATGTATGAAGATTTGTCTCATTGGCACTCGTACCAAATTTTCTTATATATATGAGCTTGATCCTTGAATAAAACAACCAAAATATAACATCAATTAGATTAATTTCGCCTACGACTAAGGGCACCAGTATGTATGATAGTGTGTGTACTGTAGCTTGTGGTCCTGAATAATATTGGCAAACCAAAACTACATTTATTAACTGTATATAACAAAGATAAGATATAAAACTAAACTATTTATTAAAACATAAAATTAAAACTCATTAAGGACTAAAACATTTTCATATAATATAATAAACTAAAGTTAGAGTGCGAAAACCAATGTGTCTTCGGACGACGACGCCAACGTCATACCAATATACGACCACAAAATTTTTTTTGCGGTCGTATAAAAAAATACTAAATAGTAAAACATTTACATATTAATACCTTGAAGTAACATTTGATGTTTTTCACTACAAAATTTAAAAAAAAGTATGATTATTTTATATCATTAAAACAAATTTATGTATCAACAACATGAAGTTTAAAAAAAAAACAATGGAGTAAAATTAGAGATTTGAGGATTTTAAGACAATTTTAGAAGGTTTTTTGCCAATTTCATGTGCTTTCTATACAAGTCTTCACCCATAATGAAAGAAACCAATCCGTGCGTAATATTTTAGATAATAAAAGAGATAAATGCATTATTTTTTTTTATTTTCTGTTGTCTAACGATCCAAGATTGCATGCAAAATTTTAGCAAAATCTGTGACATAGCCTACTTACTATTACTTGACCTTAAATTCATTTCAAACCATTTTATGAAGCTTATTCTTGATGGAGTTTTCTTCCTTGTACAAGTGAAGGCCCATGGGTACATGGCTTCCAGAATTGGCTCAAATTTTATCTATATAAAATTTCATTACTATGTGTGTTCAGCTCTATATCAAATAACAAATTAGGGGAGTAATACAGGCTCAGATGAGCTTCTCAGTGTTATTGAGTGTCAATTTACAGTTTTTTTTAAATAAAACATGTAAACCTTATCTTGTGTCTTCATATATATCACATCAACAATTACTATTTTACATTGGCACAAAAAACGGCAATACTGATTTTATCAATTAACATGCTTCATAATTGTGGCATCTTATAATTAAATGAGATTGTCTTCATATTTATTTATTGGATATTTTGGAGTTGCTGAGTTTTATTCTATTACGTTTATCATAGATTCATACCATAATTGGGTTGGTTTATAATCATAAATCTCAGGATACCATTAATTTAAAGAAGTTCTACTGATATCATTTCTTCATGGATTCCAATCAAATTGATACGGTCTCAGTTGACCTTGAAAACCCAATTTTTTTAGTCACAGATTGTAGGAATTGTATCCATGGAATTTGGACAGTTCTTATATACAAAATGTACTCCATTATACATAAGATAACCTAACATCCCATCAAATTTTTAAACATATTAAAAGCAGTACATAATATTCACAATTTTTACAGTAAAAACACATAATTTTTCATATAATCTCAAACTAAGTGTACACGAAATCTTCAGCAAAAGTTTCAGTCAATAAATTATGACTGAGGGGGTTTGGCCAAGTAATCACCATGGAAATTATATGTGCCAATGCTTATATAACTGCATACCAAATATCATTGACCTACCACTAGTGGTTCCCCAATAACTGACCTAATCACGAACTTATACATTTGTGTACATGTAAACTATGCAAAAATTTCATAGTCAATAGACCACGAATGAGGGGGTATGGCAAAATAATCTCTATGGAAATGAGATGTGCCAATGCTAGTACAACTGCATACCAAATATCATTGACCTACCACTAGTGGTTCCACACAAAACTGAGTAATCGCAAACCAATACATTGTTGACTCCGCTGGAAACAGCAGACCTACATTGTATGTCTAGCTTCTTGACTTGGTCAAGGCGAGACAAAAACATAGTTGATACCAATGCAAACCCATTCACATTGAATTTGTGTGAGTCTTTTTTTCCTTAAAAATTAATGACAAAATCTAGCAGTTGATATTTTTTGGTGCCAGAGCAATACTTGCATTGATCAACTTTTCATAACTTTTATACTAGATTATGGGATCTCAAATCTTTTGTTCTGGAGTAGAATTTTTAACCCTTGTTACCGGTATTATGAATTTTTCAGCATTTTTAACTCACCTGGCCCATAGGGCCAAGTGAGCTTTTCTCATCACTTGGCGTCCGTCGTCCGTTAACTTTTACAAAAATCTTCTCTGAAACTACTTGGCCACAATCATCATTGGGGTATCTAGTTTGGAAAATGTGTCCGGTGACCCGGCCAACCAACCAAGATGGCCGCCATGGCTAAAAACAGAACATAGGGGTAAAATGTAGATTTTGGCTTATATCTCTGAAACCAAAGCATTTAGAGCAAATCTGACATGGGATAAGATTGTTTATCAGGTCAAGATCTATCTGCCCTGAAATTTTCAGATGAATCGGACAACCCGTTGTTGGGTTGCTACCCCTGAATTGGTTATTTTCAGGAAATTTTGCCGTTTTTGGTTATTATCTTGAATATTATTATAGAGAGAGATAAACTGTAAACAGCAATAATGTTCAGCAAAGTAACATCTACAAATAAGTCAACTTGACCAAAATGGTTAGTTGACCCCTTAAGGAGTTATTGCCCTTTATAGTCAATTTTTAACCATTTTTCGTAAATTTTTGTAATCTTTTACAAAAACTAAGACAAATTTAACCAAACTTGTCCACAATCATCATTCGGGTATCTAGTTTAAAAAATGTGTCCGATGACTCCACCCGCTAACCAAGATGGCAGACATGGCTAAAAAATAGTACATAGGGTAAAATGCAGTTTTTGGCTCATATCTCTGAAACCAAAGCATTTAGAGCAAATCTGACGAGGATAAAATTGTTCATTAGGTCATGACTATCTGCCCTGAAATTTTCAGACCAATCAGGCAACACGTAGTTGGGTTGCTGCCCCTGAATTGGTAATTTTAAGAAAATTTTGCAGCTTTTGGTTATTATCTTGAATATTATTAGAGATAGAGATAAACTGTAAACAGCAATAATATACAGCAAAGTAAGATCTACAAATAAGTCAAGTGACCAAAATTGTCAATTGACCCCTTAAGGAGTTATTGCCCTTTATAGTCAATTTTTTACAATTTTTATACATTTTGTAAATTGTACAAATAAATCAACATGACCAAAATTGACGCCTTAAGGAGTTATTGCCCTTTATAGTCAATTTTTAACCATTTTCATGAATTAAGTTAATCTTTTCAAAATATTTTCCACTGTAACTACTGGGCCAAGTTCATTATAGATGGAGATAATTGTAAGCAGCAAGAATGTTCAGTAAAGTAAGATCTACAAACACATCACCATCACCAAAACACAATTTTGTCATGAATCCATCTGTGTCCTTTGTTTAATATGCACATAGAACAAGGCGAGGGACACAGGCTCTTTAGAGCCTTTAGTTTAAAGTTAAAGGGAGTAACTCTTCATTGCTAAAATCAAATGGACCCAATTTCAAAAATGTGTTTTTACTTCTTGGAAAGTTGCATACCATATTTCCAATCGCAAAGTGCTTCTAGTTTTTAACAAAGCCTTTAAAGGCAATAACTCTGGAAAAATGTACATTGCAAATATAGACATGTAACAATAGTTTTTTAAAGGGATTCATTTGCACGTAATGTTACTTGCATGTTTTAAAATTGAAAGTGGCTATGGAAATATGTTGCTGAGTTTTTCAGCCACATGACTACATACAGACAATTTAGGGATGTCTATAAATATGCCCACTTTTTTTAAAGTCAGGGCTTAAAAAACATTGGCTACAATATAGATTTACTTATTGAATGGAAGGAAAATTTTACATGAATATGATGAATCTTCTAATTTTATTTTAGGAAACCTGTTTTGAGCTTTTTTTCACATTTTTGTTATTATTGATCATGTTGATCAATAAATTGCAATGTATCAAGATAATTTGAAATTCCAAAGTCATTTCTGTCCAAAAGAGGATCAATCTGCCTCTTCAGTTCATTAAAATTTTCTGGTGGAACTGGACAGTTGGTGGTATGTACATTTACTGCAGTTCCATCAGTGTCTTCAACTGGAATTGGTCCCTCCCAATCAATACCAAAGTCTTCTTCCTGAACTATATCAGTTTCAAACATTTCTGCAACTGCTACATTGTTACTGTTACACAGTTGTAATGCACCTCGTAAAAACAATTGCTTTGGTGTTTTTCCTCTTTCTGTTCTGATTTTGTGATTATTCCACATTTTTTTGAACGTGTCCAGAGATCTTTGGATCCTTGGCATAAATACATAATGTAGTGACCATAAATGAATTTCACTTTCCAAATCAAGGATGCCTTCCCTTTCCATAAAAGTGAACAAATCATAATATATATTGGTGCATCCACGATACATATCTAGCCAAAGTCGTTCAATTCTTTGGTTGTGGACACTTTTGCCTTGTAAGACACTTCCTCTGTAAGGCCCTCTTTGTAAGGTCATGAAAGTGGCCACATCTACATTCTCTGTTCCATGGTCGGTTCTTACTCTTGATGGTAAACCATATTTCTGAACAGCTGTTAGGAACGATTGTAGAACTGTAGCTGATTTATTGTTTGTTGAAATGGTAAGGAAAACTATAAGCCTACTGAATCCATCAATTCCTCCGTGTACAACAAAACGCCATCTGAAAAAAAAAGAAATGCCTTCAAGTTTATTTCTTGAATGTTGGGAAGCATAAGCTGTAACTAGAGGCCCTTTTTTGAGCCTGTGTCGCTCACCTTGGTCTATGTGCATATTAAACAAAGGACAGATGGATTCATGACAAAATTGTGTTTTGGTGATGGTGATGTGTTTGAAGATCTTACTTTACTGAACATTCTTGCTGCTTACAATTATCTCTATCTATAATGAACTTGGCCCAGTATTTACAGTGGAAAATATTTTGAAAAGATTTACTTAATTCATGAAAATGGTTAAAAATTGACTATAAAGGGCAATAACTCCTTAAGGCGTCAATTTTGGTCATGTTGATTTATTTGTAGGTAAAAAAATTCACTATGCGAATTGACACCCTCCCCCCTGCAATACACTATGCTGTTAAATATTAACCCCCCAAAAAAAATATTTGAAGAAATTTTCTTTTAATTTCTGAAATCTGAAATGAGAAAAATTGTCCCCCTCCAATTTTTTTCACCTCCCCCCTTTCCCTTATTCCAAAAAATAATTCTTTCCCTTAAGTTATGGTCAGTATCTCAGACAATCATCATTTCTTAATACATAATTTACAAGCAGTGTAAGGGAGGTTATCAAACATTGTTATTTAAATTGATTTGGATTTTGATTTGGATTACCTCCCTTACACTGATTTTTAAATTGTCTCAATTGTCCTTTAACCAGAAAAACCCTTGTTTTTCCCCTAATTCCTAAATGGTTTGAGACATAACCCCCCAAAGTCAATCCTAACCATCCCTTTGTAGTATGGAAACTTGTGGTATAATTTCAGAGAGATTCATACACTTTAACACAAGTTATTATCTGGAAACTACAAAAATGCTTATTTGGGTCCCTTTTTTGGCCCCTAATTCCTTAACAGTTGGGACCATAACCCCCAAAATCAATCCCAACCTTCCTTTAGTGGTTATAAACCTTGTGTTAAAATTTTATTGATTTCTATTTACTTATACTAAAGTTATCCGGAAACCATCTGTCTTTGGACAACGCTGACGACGACGACAATGTGATACCAATATACGACAAAATTTTTTTTAATTTTTGCGGTTGTATAAAAACACTAAAAATTGGTAAATATCTTCATTAAAGAGCAATAACTCCAATAAGTAGTCGTCGAACTATTCTGACTTATTTGTAGATCTTGTCTTGCTGATCATTTATGATTTTTAAAGTTTCTCTCTATCTATTATAATTTTTAATATTCATAATAGGCAAAATTGGAGGGAAAAAAATTGTTAAAATTTCATTTAAAGACAATAACTCCTATAAGAAGTTAATTAACAGTTTTGACATAAATGAACAATAGGTAGAGCTCAACATTCTGAACATTTTTGGTTGTCAGATTTTCTTTTTTTATAGCATGATGATTGCGGCCAAGTTTTAAGATTTTTGTAAAAGTTAACAGACAAAAAAGGATGACGAATGACCAGTGATGAGAAAAGCTCACTTGGCATTTTTGGCAAGGTGAGCTAAAATTTAAAATATGAACTAGTTCCATCAGGTAAAAGACAAGTTGCCTAAACAAGGTACCTGGTGGCCCAAATAAATTGTTAAGTCGAAAAATTCGTAAGGGTTCCGCGGAACCCAGTGTCTCGCCTACTTTTGCTGTTAATCACAGGCTAAAAAAAAATGAGAAAAAAAATTAATAAAAATATTCCTCTCTATACTATCTTTTGATTGTAAGTAGCTTCTGTCCAAGTTTGGAAAAAATCCAGGATAGTTTATGAATCTAATAAATGTTTTAAAAACTTAAACTGCAGACTGTATGTAATGTTAACTGGAAGAAAAACTAAGTCCATTTATAAGTAAAATACGGAAAAAATGGAACAAAATTTTAACAAAATTTCCTTCTAGATACTAGCTTTTAATCATAAACAAGCTTCTGTCCAAGTTTGGTACAAATCCAGGATAGTTTAAGAAAGTTGTTAAAATTTTAAAAACTTTAACCACAGAGTGAATGTAATGTTAACTGGCAGAAAAACTAAGTCCATTTATAAGTAAAATACGGAAAAAATGGAATTTTTTTTTTACAAAATTTACTTCTGGATACTATCTTATGATCATAAACAAGCTTCTTTCCAAGTTTGGTAGAAATCCAGGATAGTTTAAGAAAGTTATTAAAATTTCAAAAACTTTAACCACAGAGTGAATGTAATGTTTCCTGGCAGAAAAACTAAGTCCATTTATAAGTAAAATACGGAAAAAATGGATTTTTTTTTTTACAAAATTTACTTTTGAATATTATCTTATGATCATAAACAAGCTTCTGTCCAAGTTTGGTAGACATCCAGGATAGTTTAAGAAAGTTATTAAAATTTCAAAAACTTTAACCACAGAGTGAATATTTGTGGACGCCGCCGACGACAACGACGACGACGACGACGACGACGCCGACGGAATGTAGGATCGCTATGTCTCGCTTTTTCGACAAAAGTCGAAGGCTCGACAAAAAGGGCCTATAAAACAAAAATCGTAACAAAATGTGCATGCTCATATCATATCAAATATGAATTGAATTGTAATTCTGTCAAAATGTAAAAAAACTAGTTGTCTTCACAAGACAATGGGACGGACGGACAGACGAGGACAATCCCACCACTAGAAAGGGTAAAATTCGTAAGGGTTCCGCGGAACCCAGTGTCTCGCCTACTTTTTCTGTTAATCGCAGGCTCAACAAAAATGAGGAAGTAAATCAATAAAAATATTCCTCTTGATACTATCTTTTGATTGTAAGAAGTTTCTGTCCAAGTTTGGTAAAAATCCAGGATAGTTTATGAATCTAATAAATGTTTAAAAACTTTATCTGCAGACTGAATGTAATGTTAACTTGAAGAAAACAAAATTTCCTTCTAGATACTAGCATTTGATCATAAACAAGCTTCTGTTAAAGTTTGGTGCAAATCCAAAATAGTATAAGAAAGTTATTAAAATTTAAAAAACTTTAACCACAGAGTGAATGTGTTGTTTCCTGACAGGAAATCTTAGTCCATTTAAAAGTAAAATACGGAAAAAATGGATTTTTTATTTTACAAAATTTCCTTCTAGATACTAGCTTTTGATCATAAACAAGCTTCTGTCCAAGTTTGGTACAAATCCAAAATAGTATAAGAAAGTTATTAAAATTTTAAAAACTTTAACCACAGAGTGAATGTGTTGTTTCCTGGCAGAAAATCTAAGTCCATTTAAAAGTAAAATACGGAAAAAATGTATTTATTATTTTACAAAATTTCCTTCTGGATACTATCTTATGATCATAAACAAGCTTCTGTCCAAGTTTGGTAGAAACCCAGGATAGTTTAAGAAAGTTATTAAAATTTTAAAAACTTTAACCACAGAGTGAATGTAATATTTCCCGGCAGAAAAACTAAGTCCATTTATAAGTAAAATACGGAAAAAATGGAATTTTATTTTTACAAAATTTACTTCTGGATACTATCTTATGATCATAAACAAGCTTCTGTCCAAGTTTGGTAGAAATCCAAGGTAGTTTAAGAAAGTTATTAAAATTTCAAAAACTTTAACCACAGAGTGAATATTTGTGGACGCCGCCGACGACGACGGAATGTAGGATCGCTATGTCTCGCTTTTTCGACAAAAGTTGAAGGCTCGACAATAAAAAGGACTACCATATTTCAAGGCTTATTAATTTAAATCTGATCTGCCTTTTGTGGCAAATAACATAAATATAAGAAGACCCCTTGTGTAGATCAAAAGTTAACCACAGGGGGACAGACCGCAGTAAAGTACCGGTATACATATATTAATATCACCACTAATGTCACAATGGGATGGGGTATAAGACTGTAAAAACTATGATTTTATACTTTTTTTTAACTACAAATAGGGTAGGATAACCATATATGTTTATAATTTTATTTATTATAAATATTGCTTGTGCTGTTGAAGTGCATATTCAAGTCGAATTTTAAAGAATGTCAATGTTTGTGAAATAATTAGAATTTTCTCTTCAGTCTAACTCCTGAGCGATGATGGTATCTTCATGATCTTAGCTTTCCTATGATTAAAATAAACTGTTGACACAGAAATATGTCTGGCCTGTCCAATATTGATAGTATATATAGTTCATATGTTGAGCTTCAACTCTCAATGGGAATGATATGTACCATTGCTTTATATGGCACTGCATACCATACATTACCAACATATCTCCATTTCATAATAAGCAAGAATGCAAAGTAATGATGAGGATGTTAGAATTTCCTCAGTAAAAAAAGGGCAATTAACTCTTCAAAATGGTCTGAAAAAACTGTCGTCATGATATGCAAATCTCCATTAGGTAATAAGCAAGCATGCATAAAATGTAGAAGTTATGCATACAAACTTTTTGATGCAATATTCTAAAACAAAAAGGTCAATAATATTAATTTCTTTAAAAATGGTCCAATCCAACTGCCATTATATATGATATGTGAATCTCCATATGGTAGTACAATGTAATAAGCAAGCATGCACAGTTCGAGGAATTTCCATTTAAAATTTATGAGGAGTTGCCCATGCAAACTTTTGGATGAAATATTCCAAGTAAAAAAGGGCAACAACTCCTTCAGAATGGTTTGATCACACTGCCATAATGATATGTGATTCTCCATATGACAACAAGCATGCATGCAGTTTTGAGAAATTCCCATTTAAATTGTGACAAAAGCTAGGGTAGGGAAGACAACAATGCTAGGCCAAGATGTAAAATAAAATGGCTCTCATGTAAATTTGTATCAATTTCACAGATCTAGATCTAGAGATGTAACAATAATAAATACCTTATCAATTTATGATTCCCATCTATATGCCATAATGAATTAGGACCTGCAACACGATATTTACGTCTTTGCACAGTGTCACACCATCTCATTGCCACAGCTGCTGGATCAAGCCTAACAAGAGCTTCTCTCACTCTGGTTTCTTGGCAAAAGTGACCACAAACTTTTAATCTTGCTTGAATAGATCTGTAGCCAAGATGGGGATTCTCTTCTATAATTGGCTGCAGTAGCTGATCTAAATCATCATCACATATTGAGCTATACTGTTCCGTTGTTGACAGACCATAAAACCTTAAATATTAAAAATTTCTAATGAATCAATTATTAACACAAAAAGAAAGATTTTTTTTTCATTTTTAATATCGACAATTTGTACATTTTCCCCTTCATCTTATAGCCTAATATTTAAAAGATCAGGTCTTGATTATCAGATTATATAAAGCAATGAAGTCAGGTATCAGTGCAGTAAAACATCACATGCTCAAGTCCATCTGTATTTCAATGAAATGCATGAGACTTTATTCATACAATCGAAGCAACTATTGCAACATTTTGTACAAGTAAAAATAGTTTTACTAACTATTTCATTTTACTTTATATTCTCAACCAAAAAATATTCAGTTCAGACAAATTGCAGATAAAAAGAATAATGGTATTCTATTTTTTGACTTTTTACCTACTGGGCTCGCTTGATATTCTTGCTGATATAGTCAGTATCAAAAACAATAAAATGCTCCGCAGGGCGCAGCTTGATACAACCGCAGAGGTCAAACTCTGAACAACTGGGGCCAGTATGGACACAACATTCAAGCTTGATACATCTCTGAATTTGGATTGTGATTAAATATTTAACACAGCTTAGGTTTCTGACACAGAATGAATGTGGTCTAATGAACTCAACAAATGTGTTTGCGGTCGTATAAAAATGTCATTATTCTTTATATATTTCAATATTTACAGTTTACATGTACTACAATGTACAAATAAAAGAGTAGACTGCTTCAGAAAATATATATTAGATGTACAGGCCATAACATAAATCATAGCAAGTTGAAATAAATTGCTTCGCTGAGCGCAGCCTGATACGACCACAGAGGTCAACCATGAACAGTTGGAGCAAATTTGGACACTATATTCAAGCTTGATACTGTCTGAATTTAGATTGTGATCAAATTTTTTACATAACCCAAATGTGTCTACGGACGATGACGAAGACGACATCATACCATTATACGATCCCAAAAATTTTTTTAGCAGTCGTATAAAAATAAACTGTTATCACAGAGATATCATATGTCTCGCTTTTTTTGTAATTTCGATAATGCAAATGTTGAAATTAAAATAGCAACACTTTAACATATAAGTTTTGCAAATATTCAAAGTCAATGAACCATGACTGAAGGTACATGGCTAAACAATCTCCATGGAAATGAGATGTGCCAATGCTAATACAACTGCATACCAAATACAATTGACTTATCATAAGTAATTCCCTTTAAACAAACCTAAAAACAAACTAATACATGTAAACTATGCACAATTTCAAAGTCAATAAACCATAACTGAGGGGCAGGGTCAAATATTCTCCATGGTAATGAGATGTGCCAACCTACCACTAGTGTTTCTCCATAAACCAACCTAATCAAAAACTAATACATGAAAACTAAGCAAAAGTTTCAAAGTCAATAGACCATGACTGAGGGGATAGGACCAAATAATCTCCATGGAAATGAGATACATGTATGCCATTGCTTATACAACTGCATACAAATTATCAGTAACTTACCACTAGTGGTTCCCCATGAACTGACCTTATCACGATCTATTGATTGACACTAATTTATGAATAGACTGCTGACATAAATTTGATATAAGTTTTATAAAAATCTGGCAAGAATCGTACATGTGAGAATGCTAACAAGATCAGAAGGAAGGACAAGACTCCCGATATTTCTATGTCCCTCGCAATGCTTTGTGCTGGGGACAACTACATATACAGCAACAATCTCAAACTTCATTCAAATATATTATATCAAACAATATATAATAACAATATATTTATTTAGTGAGTCTGACTGTTTCACATCCTGAGCATTAACGGACTATTATCAATCAAGATTTTAATAAAATTTACTGACCTTAATCTTCTTTTAATTGTTGAATGAGAAACCTGAAGGAGTTTTGCCATCTCTGTTCCGGTGAAGCTTAAATCTACAAGGTACTCAAGTTGATCTTTGGTAATGTCGTATACTGGACGACCACGATTACCATCATTAATCCTAACCATTTTATACGCTAAATCTTTCTCAGATCTGTAGAAAAAAAGACGTTTATTATCATCATGATCATGGCTTTATTGAACACTGTGACTACCAGTGTATTTGCTTTGATATTTGTACAAAGAATTAGATTCAACTTTCATACAAAAAAATTCATCTCACATCTACTTTTACTTTCCCTTTTAGACTAATGTATTGGGCCAGTTTTTTTATAGGCATCTGCCAATCAGGGATCAACAAGAAATACACTTCCAAACGAAATGAATTTAAACTGCATTGTGATGAGATTTGTTGGAGGATATACATAACGTTACGAATAATAGCTCTTAGTACATACAACAAGATTAACTGATTAGGGCAAGCTGCCCATCTGTAGGGTCAGAACAAATTTTCTGCTACAGCACTAAATAAATAAATAAGCATTAAAGCTTTATTTAGAGTCAGCAAGGTATACAAAAAGAGACAACATAAGCTCTAATGAGCTTTTAACCACATGTAATACTACGGCATTGTATCTCAAACTCTGTCTGACCGACAAAATGTCATGAATTGCAGACAAAAATCATTCGGTCAGACAGAAATTTTCAATTTTTCTAGTTGAACATATAGAACAAAAAGGTAAAATTTCAATTTCGGTCAGACAAACCCTAAAATAGTTTGGCACAGACTGCTACGGTATTCTATGTTAAACGAAAGATGCAAGAAAAATTTTGTCTACAGCAGAAGAGACAGAATAGATAATTTAATGATAAAAGTAGCAATGAAATTTACAGTACATGTACATGTCAAAATTATAATATAAACAAATCAAATATAGTAATGGCTCGCCTCATAGGTCACACCTACTTTGATTATAAGTCATTGGTACCCTACATGACCAATGACGTTAAAATATTTGTTAAAATAACGTTAACAGGATCCGCCTATGACAGTTTTGTTTGTACTCAAAGAAAATTGCATGGTGTAAACACAGCCATTTTTTTTAAAGATAAGATGAGATAAGATATATTTTATTTCCAATTAAGGGCCCACAAGGGACATCTCACTTTCATACATCTTATTTGAAAGGAGACGTACCATCAGACTGGAGACAGGCAAATGTAATTCCTATTTTTAAGAAAGGCGGAAAATACCTAGCCAGTAACTACAGACCTGTCTCCCTAATGTGTATATGCTGCAAATTATTAGAACACATTGTAGTAAGTAACATACTAAAACATCTGGACGCCCATAACATACTAGTGGACAATCAGAATGGCTTCAGAGCTAAACGCAGCTGCGAAACACAACTTCTGACATTAAGTCATGAATTACTCAGTAATCTCCATAGCGGTATACAAACAGATCTTATAATATTAGACTTTTCCAAGGCATTTGAAAAGGTACCTCACAAGAAATTATTAAGGAAGATGGATAATTATGGCATAAGGGGAAATACCTGGAATTGGGTATCAGCCTTCCTTAATAATAGAATGCAACAGGTTGTCCTTGATGGGGAGGTATCTGGTCAAATGCCTGTGGTAAGTGGGGTGCCTCAAGGCTCGGTCTTGGGGCCCATTTTTTTCTGATATTCATAAATGATCTGCCTGCAACAGTAACATCAAAAACACGCTTGTTCGCAGATGACTGTATTTTATACAGAACTATTAAAAATCAACAAGATTGTACCATCTTTCAAACTGACTTAGACTGCTTAGCTAAATGGGAACAAACTTGGGGTATGCAATTCCACCCAGAAAAATGCAACTCACTAACTGTTACAAGATCTCAGTCACCATACAAACATAACTATGTACTTAAAGGCCACATTCTAGAATCAGTCAACACAGCAAAATATCTTGGAATCACCTTATCCAACAACATGTCATGGGATACTCATATCAACAATATCACAGCTATTTAAGCAAACAAGATCTTAGGCTTTTTACGAAGAAACTTAAAAATTAATCAGGAAGAAACAAAAAGTTTGGCTTATAAATCAATGGTACGATCAAACTTCGAATACTGCTCTTCATTTTGGTCCCCTAACACCCAAAAACAGAAAAATAATATTGAAAAGGTACAAAGAAGGGCAGCACGTTACGTCACCAACAGGTATCATAACACCAGTAGTGTCACTTCCATGATTGACCATCTTAAATGGAAGTCACTGGAAACTCGCAGAAACATCAATCGAGTAACAATGATGTATAAGATTACACACCAACTTATAGCAGTCGATCCTCATCTTTACCTCTCACCACAGCCAGTCAAAAACACCAGATTTACCAACTCACTACAATATCAAACTTTCAGCACCAGAACAGATTACTTTAAGTACAGTTTTTTTCCATACACAGTTGTACTCTGGAACTCACTTCCACAAAACATCATTAGTGTTAACTCTTTATACTAATCCAAAGTCAGTATATTTAGATATTCACCCTGTTTGTACATGTACATATATGTAAATGAGTTATTTTTTATTTTTGCAATAATTTAATTTTTGATTAATGCACTCATTAGATTGTTACTTTTTATTAAGTGTCTGTTTGGGATGCGATGAGGTATAGTCATCAATGTGCTGATGGATCGTCGTACGATGTAGATGTAAATATAGAGAATACAAGTATAAGGAAAAAGAACATTGATTAGCATAGATACATAGAATTTACATACACAATCACGATACAATTAGACTGTAAATAATAAAACCCTTGGTTTATAATATATAATATATTTATATGAGAAATTAATACATCTAATTCATATTGACTTGAATAAATTTTCAAACAGCATTAAGAACTAGTCCAAATAATTATGACGTCTTGGAAGGCTATTTTAAATTTTTGCTTTGACGCCTTCCTGCGACGATGTAAGGCGTCAAAGAAAAAAATATAATAGCCTTTCAAGATGTCATAATTATTTGGACTACAGTAAGAACCTGATTGTCTTCACAGCTTAAGGTTCATCTATACACTTCAACAAAAATGGCTGTGTTTACACCATGAAATTTTCTCTGAATGCAGACAAAACAGTGTAATTCTAATAGTTTTAAATCCTGGCAGCACCTAGATATATACAAGTTGTATTCATTTTGTGTTTTAAAAAGAAAAATACTTTTGTGCTTTTTGCTAAACATTTTCTTTCCTTGCCACAGGTGGTGTAAAAATAAACAAAGTCATGTGAAATCTTTGAGATGGCCCCCGTCAGGTAATGAGTGTATTGTATCATATTGATTGATATGGACAATAGAGGGACAATAGAAATCTACTCACAACAAAGGTGATTTAAATAGTGTAAATGAGCGGACTGTATCAAAGAAAACTCAGGTGTTTGTTTATTTCACCATCTTCCTGTGGCAAGGAAAGAAAATGTTCATCAAAATCCATAAAGTGTTTTAATTTTTTAGAACATAAATTGGATGTAACATTAATTTATCTAGGTGCTGCCAGGCATTAAAACTTTTAAAATTACACAGTTTTGTCTGTACTCAGAGAAAATTTCATGGTGTAAACACAGCCATTTTTGTTAAAGGGAAATCACACTATTGTTTATACGCATCGCTCTCGACGCCGATATAGTGTCGTGACCGTATTATGACGTCGCCGTTTTCGAGTCCGTCGTAAAGGTTGCTAATTTCTAAAATGGCGGCCCGCTCAAAGGGACGTTCACTAAAGCAAGAGAAAGCATATGACGTTTTGATTTAAGTGCAAAAAATGAAAATGCTACTCGAAACGGACAAAATGTATGGCAAAATAATAGCCGAAAGTGGTCTTGATATGGTCTTGATATGAATTACCTTACGATTGGGTTTAATTCAAATGAGTAACTCTCTTTAAAAAAAAGATATTATTATTATTATTATTATTATTATTATTATTATTATTGAGTTAGTATTTACATACAATACCATTTATACAATTATTTTCTTAAAGGTTTATTAATTTCACCGAAAAATATTGTTAGATATGAGAAATATCAACATTTTTTGTTGATCTGGTCTTTTTTTTTTGTAGCGAAATCCGTCAGCTCAACTTTTTTTTGTAAAAAAACTTTTTTCATTTACTGTAAAGTATATATTTTCATATATTAACATGTTTATTGATCTCGAAGATTTCTTAGTTTCACGAAGAAAAAAAATATTTAAAAACAAAAGAGATATTTATAACACTTTTTGTCGATCATTTCAGTATAATCAAAGCGTACATCAACGAATGTGAAATCCGTCCGGTCAACTTTTTTTTTTAGAAAAACATTTTGTTTTACTATAAAGTTTAAATTTTCATATAAGATAACTATTAATCTCGCAGATTTCTTAGTTGTATGAAAAAATATTTTAAAACAAAAGAGATATTACTAGTAACACTTTTTGTCGATCAGTTCAATATATGTAAAGCGTACATCAGTGAGTGTGAAATCCGTCCTGTCAACTTTTTTTGTTAGATTTTCATAAAATATAGTCTAATATTTCTCTGGTCTTCAAATATTAAAATAATCTATCAAATCACAAAAAAGTTCTGACTATTTATATCTCATCCGGTCAATATGGGCAATTGTCCTGTCATTAGTGTAACCCAACTGTTGGCAGCGTATCGTCGCGATGTTGTATGTGGGAATATACTGGGGAAAAAAATAACAATATACCAAGAGTTACAGCATGTAATGTAGTTTTCTGTCTAACAGAGGGATGTAAATAAGAACAATGAGTTTCGATGTTCCTTTCGTGTTGTTCCTTTCGTGTCAAACGCCTCTCTCTCTCTCTCTCTCTCTCTCTCTCTCTCTCTCTCTCTTTTTGGGAAGGGGGGTAGGGGGGGGGCACAAACACATGAACACACGTTATTTAAGAATGACGCCAGTTAAACATCACTGTAAAAGAAGCATACAAAATTTTACATCGGTTGCTGGCTGTCGAAATCAAAGAAAATTTAGCACCGTATTATATAGTACATTATACTCAATCTTCTTTTAATGCTTTGTACAGGCTTACATAATTTGGGCACAAAAAAAATCATGTTTTGTAGTATTTCTTCAAACTGTCAATTATAGCGAACTGTACGACCAGCAAGTTAAAAAATAAGGCCTCTAGACGTCAGAGCAATCTGGGAATATCAAACACTATGCCTAGTTATTTTTGTACTATTGATGACCGTACTGCCTACAACAACAACAAAAAATCCACACTGTATATTTGGCTTTACAAGTCTCCAACAAGAGAAATATTTAACACACACACATGTATTTATGTAGAGTAACATGTCTTTCAGAGTGCTAAACTGTAACCATCACATTAAGGTCCGTCTTGTGAAAGAGTATTCATCTCCTATAGAAAAAAATTTTGTGCTGATATTCATGTAATATTTGCCACTGAAAGTTTTGCAAAAATCAAGAAAAAAACGAAAACAAAAACAAAACAAAAACTAGTAGTTCAGATGTAGGTTCGTGTTCAGATCACTCAATGTGATCACTTGCATGTCAACAAAAAGTGATATAGGGAGATAGTCAGATTCCGATCATGACTGTAAAGGACAACCATTTGTTTAATACAAAGGTAGCTTATTTACTCTTGATACCTTGGTTCTTTAAAAAAAAATGGCCAACATGATATAGCAGAGTGCTGAAAGTGGCACACACAATCAATCAGTTATTTTCAAATTACCTATTATTAATCAGTTTTGGCAAAAAAAAGTATATAGGCTATACCATACTGAAACATAAATGTGATAAAAGAATATACAATTCAAGAAAGAGAGGTGCACCAACAGAAAATAGAAACTGTAATCTTTCTTTTAATTTCATCGGATCTCAAAATTTTAACTCTTACCAGAATTTATTCTATCTTACAGTATAACTCGGAAGTTTCTAAGTGGAACTCGAGCTTTAACTAGAACTCTTACTCGAATTAACATTCGAACTAAAAATAAATCTGGAACTTTAACTCAAAATTTAGCTGGAACTGGAACTCTTATTCTACCTCAAAGGTTATCCACACTCTCATTTGTCATCTGATAAAAAAATTCGTAAAGGTTCCACGGAACCCAGTGTCTCTCCTACTTTCGCTGTTAATCGCAGGCTCAACAAAAATGAGGAAAAAATCAATAAAAATATTCTTTTCGATACTATCTTTTGATTGTAAGAAGCTTCTGTCCAAGTTTGGTATACATCTAGGATAGTGTATGGATCTATTAAATGTTTTAAAAACTTTAACTGCATACTGTATGTAATGTTACCTGGAAGAAAAACTAAGTCCATTTATAAGTAAAATGCGGATAAAAAGGTACAAAATTTTGACAAAATTTCCTTCGAGATACAAGCTTTTGATCATAAACAAGCTTCTGTCCAAGTTTGGTACATATCCAGGATAGTTTAAGAAAGTTATTAAAATCTGAAAAACTTTAACCACAGAGTGAATGTATTGTTTCCTGGCAGAAAAACTAAGTCAATTTATAAGTAAAATACAGAAAAAATAGATTTATTTTTTACAAAATTTACTTCTGGATACTATCTTATGATCATAAACAAACTTCTGACCAACTTTGGTACAAATCCAGGATAGTTTAAGAAAGTTATTAAAACTTCAAAAACTTTAACCACAGAGTGAATATTTGTGGACGCCGCCGCCGCCGACGACGACGACGACGACGCCGACGACGGAATGTAGGATTGCTATGTGTCGCTTTTTCGACTCAAGTCGAAGGCTCGACAAAAAAACTAGAGTTAGATAAAATATATCAACATGTCCACGGAAACACGGATAGATGTAGCAGAACAAGAAAAAAAAACTAGATCCGTTTATTACAAGTTAAAAGATTTTTTTATTACATATCAATTGGGAACATTATATGTTCCTGATATCAATATGGCGATGTGTATTTTATTGTCAATTAACTCTAAATTATCAGATGCATTGTATTTCTCATAACATACCAAAGTTGAGCGATTAATCGAACGGTAATAAAATATACGTAATACATAAAGTTTTAATACACAGGCGATGAACATTGAACATATTATGTACAATGAACATGAAACGATGTATGAAAAATGGGTGCGGGATAATAGAACTAAGAAAAAAATTTGGTTTCCACAGTTCGAATAAATTATGAAGCGTTGTGTAATTACGGAAATGTTAACCAATTTTAAATTCCTACCGAAAATAGGTTTCTTTTAACGTGCTGAGTTTGTGGCATTTTTAACACGGCATTTCAGGTTTTATCTTCCCGGTGCGAATGGACAGGCTAGTGAAATTATAGTAACGAAATTATTCTGCCTGCAGTCTAAAAGGAACGTGATACTTTTCAGCTCGGATACCCTCAGTCTTCCGAGGTAGAAGACTCTTTATCTGGAAGCCAAACATTATTTCTATAATACGGCATGAGGCAAACATTCGTTTTCCCCATACAACAAATGCAATTAAAAAAATGAGATGACTTCAACATTGACAATTACTTTATAATAAACTGTTATTGTATCTATGTTTAACGATTCGATAGATTGATAAAAATATCAATGAATAATCAAAATACCTTAAAAATGTTCAAAAATGATGTTATATTTTGTAGTGAAAAGGTTTAATTCAACCCAAGCGTTGCAAGAAATGCTGTTATGCCAGCAACGTCGTTCTATAACGTTAACAGAAAAGGTTATAGTTCCCGCCAAAATTCAATAATAAGATTATTTCCGTTTTAGCGGATTTAAAACATCGGTGACCCCCCTTTTTTATTTATGCTTTTAAAATCTTCCCTGAAGCTGCAACTTATGCAGAAGTTTGAAGGGAAAAACATTAGTATTTTTTTTTTATTTCAAGAAAAATCTATTATAAATAGCAATTAAAAATGGCGGGAAATGTTCAAAGGCCTTCAAAAATAAGGAAACCGAGACAAATAAATGTTCATAAGGTACAAGTTACATTTGACTGTTTTTGTTATTCCAGTTAAACATCGTTTTTCAATAAGTTTGTCTTTTTTTAGCAATTTAGAGCGCTATTTCTATATTTCGTTATAACGCGATTCTTAAAGTTTTGATGACGTCATATCTCGAAAACAACATCGGTGACCCCAATTTTTTTTTCGCCTAAAATATCTTAATAAGTATGATCTGTCTACATGCAAAATTTCAATGAATTATTATTAGTAGTATAAATAGTGTGATTTCCCTTTAAAGTGTATAGATGAACCTTAATATAATAAATAAGTGTATAGTCTATAGATGAACCTTAAGGCTCTTTGACGCTAACGGTTGCAAAAAGGGGACGTTTGACGCTGGTGATAAAGGACATTCCTACCCTCTAGCATAGAAAATAATGTAACATTTTTTTTACCCTTTTAATTCTTCAACAGCTCCAATGAGTTCACTCAGCATATCCAACAGTTCTTCTACAGCCGCCCATCTCTGTGATATTCGTAGAACATTAGTCGCTACAGTCTGGAGTCGTAACAATGCAGAATCCAAATAATCTGTGTTCCTGCAGTCTGATTTTAGCAAACGAACAACATCCTGAACTATGCCATCACACACATTTAGAAAATTCTGAAAAGAATGCCGATCTGTTCGTCGCTCTACATCCGCCATTTTCTTAACAAATATAGTATCGGAGTGAATTACTGAATAGCATAAAATGTTATTTATACAAACAAAATGTTCTTTACAATTTACACACAATGAAGTTATTCTTTTATATATTACTCCATCTCCACACACAAAAATAACACTCCAAAAAATATAAAAAGAAAAATTAACAACTTCTGTTACACACGATTTGATACACCTAATCGCTATTTATTCCATTCCGGATAAGTTCTAAAATTACACAACTTTTTCATCCAGTTGACGCTATCTGGGACCCTGTTTAAACAATGCACCATGCATGATACTTTTTAATGAGACCTGTTTAAAACATCGTAAATACTTCAAACACAATATTTTTTTGACTATAATTTGAGTTTGGAAAAAGTGGATCATAATCTATCAAAGTTTCCTATTGATCGCTTTCTAAATTTTTCCCTCCCTCAGCTCGCTACTGATGACCTTTGTTTGCGGCCTGTTGACCCAAACAGGAAGTTGTCTAAATGACTGTTTTTTCCGGATTGGACTAAATAGCGATAAGGTGTATTGGTTGATACTCTGGAATAAGCAAATAAATAATTTAAATAACGCACGTGCAAAAATCTTTCTGTGTATACAGAAATATTTCTGTATATACATAATTCGATATATGTATATACGGAATTATTTCTGTATATACGTAATTCGATTTCTGTGTATACGGAATTATTTCTGTATATACGTAATTCGATTTACGTATATACGTAATTATTTATGTATATACGTAAATCGAATTATGTATATACATAAATCGAATTAGGTATATACGGAAATAAGTATTTTTGACCTTGATTCCGCGCCATACATTGTTGACAAATTGGTTTCATGTTCCGACAATTTTTTTTATATCCAGAAGTTGTCAACACTATATCTGTCATGTAATTGAAGTTCCTCAAAAAGTTTATGAAATTAGTTCCAAGCGGAAGAAATAATCCGGAGAAATTATTTCCATTGACATAATGTTTCTGATGGAATAAAAATAATAGAAACAAACTAATGAAAGATACCAGGCTTATAATGGTGTACGCCAGACGCGCGTTTCGTTAACAAAAAGACTCATCTGCGGCGCTCGAATTAAAACAGTTGGTAGACTTATTTAAATACGAAGTTGTAGAGCTTTAGATACCGAAAAATATTGTGCCAAATTCGACCAATGCAATCTATACCTAGAGGTCAGATGGGAGTGGAAACTTCTAGTGTTTCGAATAATTTAACATTAGTGAATTTACATAAAATGAACAAATCAATAATATTTCATGTCAACACATAAGTGCTGACTACTGGGCTGTATGGTGATACCCTTGGGAACGAAACATCAACCAGCAGCCCACGTGGCATCGACCACGTGGTTTAAAAACTCATCAAAGATACCAGGCTATAATATTTTGTACGCCAGTTGTGCGTTTTGTCTCCATACAAATATGTATTCCCATCAAGTTTCACGAGGTTTGGAGGAACACACATAAACGTTGCCACTGTTAATATTTTGAAGCACACATCAGTTAAAATTTAAAGATTGCGAATTTTGGGTCAATCAAGTCAGCTTGATATTTAAAAATACGTTTATTATTATTATAAAATTATAATCATAGATGTTTGTCTTTTTCAGCATTCATGCCATGAATTTTGACATTTTAATCTTGTGATTTCCCCTCCTATCATTTACAGAATATACAGGACTCAATATTAATTTAGACACCAAACATGATTGTATGCAAAGCCGTATTATTTTTAATGCTCTGATGGGGTATGAAGACGTTTCAATTATTTTTCCATATTTTGTGATAATCCTTAAAATCCTTGATTGTATACCTCATAATAGTATATCTACATTGTACTAACTACTATATATTGATAAACTGATTGCCAGCAGGATATCAACTAACTATATTGATAGATTGATTTACTGCAGGTTATATATCTACTTACCTTACTGATAGATTTAGACCGTTTGTTTTCAGGTTATCCAATCACCTTTCTGATAGATTGATTGGGGGGGGGGGGGGGGGGGGTTATTGTTTTTTGTCCGTGTCAGAAATTGAAATTTTTTTTTTTAGTTTTTCGACGCTGTCAATCAAATTATTTTTTTTTCAAAATTTAACACTATAAGGTATGGGGAAAATCTGGATTCAGAATATTTTTTTTTGTCATCTGCTTGACCACAATATTTTTTTTTCATTTTCATCAAATTGGGGATCAGAACATTTTTTAAGGAAAAAAACATAACCACCCCTTGAAGTTAAATGGTCGTTCCCTCATATACTCGCAGGTTATCAAATCTTTTATAAAATCCAGGATGTTCAGCACTCACAGCAATTCCGTGAGTTGTATTCTGAACCGTCAACATCGTGAACAATTATTATGGAATTATCGAATGATTTGAAAGCGCTTTTATAGCCACCATGAAGTTAGAAGGAAAAGAACCTGAGTGGAAATTTACTGCCAGTTCTAGCCAGGTTACAGTCCAACTCACTTGGATCAAGGCCTATGACACTACATCTAGGAACCCTAAGCCGGCCCTGCAAAAGAAACACAAGCCTCCATCTACCAGGAGACGAAATGCCGAGCGTTTGATCCAGTGGATGGACTCGAAAAAAAAAACCGTTGCTTCCGCTGCTACCCCTGTAACTACCACCAGTACAAGTGTAGATAACATCTGTCAGACGCAAGCCAGGGATTTAGTTATTGGTACACCAATTACACCAACAAAATATCGTGGAGAACCAGAGGGAATCAACATCAAGACGGACATAGTCACTAGTCCGTACAAATCCCAGAAGGCATGCCATCGCCGTTACTTCTATACTCCATCCAAACCTAGAAGTAAGCGCAGTAGGATAGACTTCACAGAGGGTTTTGACATCGATGGCTCCGACCTACTTCGCACACCATCACATACCTCACCAATATCCATGCCAGATCCAGAGGCCATTAAAACTGCCTTTGCCTAACAAGAACGGCCAGACACTCCGTACCAACCTCAACCACTGACCAGGTCGGAGCAAGATGAAAGGAAAAAGAACAGCAGATCCAACACCGCAAGGATAGGTTATTGTAGTCCGCAATATCTATCAAGATAGCCGGACGATAAAACCCAACATCATCACTCACAGCTGGGAACTGTATGTCAATATATATGTTCCTGCTCACAGCAATCGTTTACATAATTTTGGATTTGTTTATGTTTTTAGGGGGGATTTTTGGTCCTAATGTTCTCCAACTTTGTACTTAAATTGGCCTTTTATCTTTTTTTTATTCGAACGTCACTGATGAGTCTTTTGTAGACGAGACATGCATCTGGCGTACAAAATTGTATGCCTGGTATATTTGATGAGTTTATTTTATAACCACTGGGTTAATGCCACAGCCGGTGGAGGTTTCCTACCCGAGGGTATCACCAGCACTTCTGTGTCGACATGACATATAATTGATATGGTCATATTTATAAATTAACAGTTGGATCAGTAGTTGTCGTTGGTGGTTGTCTATCATATTTGTTTTTTGTTTTGTACATACATTAAGCAGTTGGTTTTCTCGTTCTTCATTTTGTCATGTGAAAACCTTTCACAACTTACTTTTTGTTGGTGTCTTTGTTTTTTAGTTGATTATTTTGTATGTTTGTTTGAATTTTTTAGTCAGTTGTGTTATATGTCTGTGATGTTATGTTAAGCACAGTTTTGGCTGCTGGATCCCAATTAATGTCACGTATTATGTCTGTTTGGGTTGCTTACCAAATTTTTTGTAAATAAAGGAACTATAAACAATTGTCATACAAGTGGGAGATTTAGCTAGCTATAAATCCAGGTGAAACCCATTTTTTTTCTTCGGAAAATGTCTGTACCAAGTCAGGAATATGGCAGTTGTTTTTCACTTGTTCTGTTGGTTGCTAGCGTTTGATTTTGTCAGTTTTTATGGACTTTCCCTTTCTGAATTATTTGCCTTGGAGTTCGTTTTTTTTTTATACTTTTTTACTATATGATATGGGTTTTGCTATTGTTGAAGGTCGTTTAATGACCTATAGCTGCTAACATCTTTGTCATTTGGTCACTGGTGGATAATATCTCATTGGCAATCACACCACACCTTCTATTTATTCAAAATGCCTATGTTTTGAGATTTTGTCTGCAAGTCTGATTAAGAAAAGCCAAGAGTGGTTATCCCAGACTAGGTGACTTTTACAGGTTAATACTAGTGTAGTCCTATTACATACCCATGCACCTGTCTGAAGTCAGAAACCTTGTCTCAAATCTTAATACCTTTTGTTTTTTGTAGAATTTAAGTGTTGATGTCAGACCTTTATAACTTTTCCTTTCGACTCACTACTATTCAAAGCTTAATAATGTTTACTTTAAATTCAGAAATGAATGTGTACATTTATTATTGATAATCCTTGATCACTGGCAAAAATATGAAATCTAATTAAGGTGGTACCCAACACCTTGACAAATATTAATTTGGCTCGTTTAATTTTCATAAAATTTTGACAAAATGTTAACTTTGACCCTTTGACAAAAATATAAAAATTTCAAAAAATTTGAACCAACCACTTTATCAGAAAAATTTCATTGGTTATATAGCAGTCAAACACTAATTTTGATCATTGAGAAGCTTAATATTTCCTTAACAATACAACATGATTAAAACGTTTAGCAGATTTTTACAGAGTTATCTCCCTGTAGTGTTAGGTACCACCTTAATGTGATTGCAAAAATTTTATGAAGGAAAATCACAACTGAAATTATGAACATGATGAATGTGAGCTTTTATTACCGTGAACTTTTTTTTCACACTTATAAACACATCACACTAATTTCTGAATTAACAATACACAAATGCCTGTAGTTTCCTGACTAGATATCTTATGATCAATTATGTTCTTGGGCTGCTGTTTCATTAAAATTAATATGAAGAACCATGATATTTTTAGTACTACAGAAAACTAAATCGAAGACACCAAGTAAAGATATTTTATT